AACAAGTCGCGCAATGGAACTTTCCCAAAAATCGAACTTTTTTCTTCTCGTAAAAAATTTTCAATTCTTGAAAAAAGAATTCAATATGGCGTCTACGGTCGCTAACAAATACACACTTGCATAGAAATAGCGTCAAACATTTGTACATGTTGGTGTTTCATGATCGTATCCACCTCTTTTTAAAGGAAGTTATTTTTTCTATAAACAACCGAAGTATATAAATTATCTTGATTTATCGATTGTTCCGAAAGAAACATAGCGTGATTGGATTGTGTATGGAACAACATGAATAGAGACATTGTTGTGTGTCCCTGAATAAAGACCATTCTACTAAAATTTAATTTTATAAAAGTACATTTACTTTCTGTCGAATGAACAAAAGCCGATTAATTCTGAAATAAATTTCATTTCAAAATTTTACAGCGTCTTTTTACCCGATTCCATCCGAATATTAATCAAAAAATGGCTCAAAACACCGAACAACATGTTCCTGTCGAACGACAAGCCGTCAAACAGTACGAGTTTCATTTACGTGACAAGGCTTGCGATGGTCTCTATTTGCAGCCGGATTTGGCGGATGTCAACTTTTTGTTTTACGAAGAAAACGTGACCGATGCTACTGCGAAAAAATTAATCGAAAAAATGCCAGCTCACAAGTTGATTTTGGCCTCGGCAAGCTGTGTATTCCGTGCCGAGTTCTACGGTTCAATTAAGGAAAAAGGTGACGTGGAAATCGTCGATTCATCGCCAAAGGCGTTCAAAGAATTTTTGCAGTGTTTTTACCTCGGTACTGTTACATTCACAATGGAGCACATCCCCGAAATCATGTATTTGGCCAATAAATACATGGTCGCCGATTGCATGGATGGATGTGTCAAACATCTGCATGACAATTTAACATCGACCAACGTTTGCTGGGTGTATGACTTGGCCATACTTCACGAACACCAACAGTTGAAGAAATTTTGTGAAGAACAAATCGTTTTGAATGCTGAACGAGTGCTAGAATCAGATGGATTCCTCGCTTGCAGCCAAAAATTGTTGCGTGAAATTCTGAAATTGGACTTTCATTGTAAAGAATCAATCGTATTCGATCGCTGTTTGGCTTGGGCAAAGAATGCATGCCAACAAAATCGCTTGGACAAAAATGATGGATTGAATTTGCGGAGCCAACTGGGTGATTGTTTGTTCTTGATTCGATTCGGAACAATGACAATTCAGGAATTTTCGGAAGCCACACTCAAGTGTGAAGGTATGTTTACAGCTGACGAATTGTGCGATATAATGCGTTCCATATCGTTGAAAGGACTCGTTTCGAAGAAATTTAATCAAAATCCTCGCCAAAGACTTTGCTGGGATGAAAGCAAAGTTTGGGAGTGTTTGCCAAATACAGCCAATTCTGAATGGCAACAACTCCAAGGCCGTGAAAGTGTTTTCATTACATCGAACAAGATGACGTTGCTTGGTGGAGTATATTTTACCAACGTTTATGAGGATTATAACGTTGTCAAAACATTGAATACCAAAGTTAGCATTGTAGAAATAAAAGGCCATTCATTTGCTACCGAAACTGGAACCATTATATTTGAAGAGACGAAGAACATTTATCACAACCGAAGTAATTACATGAAGCTACCGATACCAATCGTTATCAATGCGGGCAACACATACCAAATTTGCTTAGAATTTCCAAAATACTTCGCAGGGCTCTACTTTGACGGATACAGTCTTGGCGAAGTAACATCAGAGAAGGGTCTAAGCATTACATTCCAAAATGATAGCCATTTAATTGAAGGCTTGGACCTAATCGACTATTAGTTGGACAGAACGAACACGAACATTTGTTGGAGATTTAAATAATAAATAGTTTCTTTCATATAAAACTTCATACAAACAATGAACGAAACAAAGCTGAAATAAGTTTAAACAATAACATTCGATTTAAAAGAAAAAACAATACATTTTGATAACTTGTTCAATGTTCAAGACAATATTTCTTATTATCTTCTGTATTAAACAAAAAGCTAAATAAATCCACAATTCCATTGATTTCAATCATCTTATTCTGACATATTTTGTTTATTTTCCTCATTTTCGAAACAATTGGTGAAAAACTTAGCCAAAATTAACTTTCAAACAGGCAACCAGAAAGCACATACAGAATTTAAAATTCATTGATAAGCTAAAGATATATAAAGAAAGAAGAAGGTAAGAAGGTCTTACTCATCATTTAACTTATCTTGAATCAAAAATATATTAACCGATATCAAAGTATCACAGATTGCTTTCAATTTGTATCATGATTACATCAACGGAAATAAGTGCATCAAGAGGTTATTATTCGGAAGATAATTAAGATTTATTAATTTCCAATGTTTCTATATTAGTCATATTCAATCAATAAATTCCTCTCTGTAAAATTTCTCACAAGAAATTTGATCGATCAATTCTTTTTATTTCGTCATTTAAAAAAAGGTTGAATTCATTGAAAATTGAGTAGTACAGCCAACTTCATACCGAAGCTTGACCTTGCTGATACAATCAATATTTGTACCGCCAATTTCCACATAGAGTGAGTGAATTGCGCTACGTCATCGCATATAGCACGCAATAGTAGACTGACGCTAAGAGAAGAAACACGTTTTATTCGGAACAAATTTTTATTTTGGAAAAAGCTGTACATTTTCCCGATAAAAAGTATTAAATTGAATGGAGAAAAATTGTTTGTCCTAACAATTCAATGAAGATCCCACAATGAAACATTTTTATGGAAATAGTTTTTCTTGTTTGACATTGTGTACAAAATACGACTAGTAAAATTTTAACCATCTCTGATTTTGTCTATTTCTTATCACCGTATGCGATTCAGGAAAACAATGAATCCATTTCAATGCAAGGGTGTTAGTGGCGGAAAGGTTGGCCACAAGTGCAAATGCAAGCCAAGGTGTTCACAAATCATTGTGAAGGAAGAAGTCGTCGTC